GGAAATCTTTCTTTTTTCTATCTTCTTTCTCTTCTTTTTTTTTAATTTGTAAGGATCGGTTTTGCTTACACTCCGAGTATTGTTTTGTAGAATAACGAACGCAGCAGACGATTGATGAATGGAAGGTCGACAAAAATAGTGCTACGATTACATATCAGATGACTCTACTTCATCAATGAGGTGATAAATCATGTCTTATTTAAATTTTCAAGTTGTAGAATATTTTATGAAAATAAAATTTACCGTCTAACATTTTAGGGTTTCGATTTGTGTTTGATTTTTACACACGAATATAAACTTTTAAAAATGTAGGATACCTTTTATTATTAGTTATGCACCGGGTTTTCATAATTTATTAAGATATATAATTTTTTTAGGGTTTCCAAATGATGTCGAATTCATGTTATCTTGGGTTATTCTTTCTAATCATTGAAATTTAAGTACATGGGAATTCCTTTTAAAACGTCGTATTAATACGATTTATCAATTTTTAATAAAAATTTCAAAATTAGGGTTTAATTTGCAACGATAATGGGATGATATTAACATGTTTTAAGTGAAACAAATATTCCATTAGCATCAACTGGAAATTTCAAATTTTTAGGATTTCCAAATGACGTCAAGTAATGTTATCTTATGGTTATTTTTGTAATCATTACAATTTTAGTATACACAAATATGTTTGACAACTTCTTAAGAATCCGATTCTGGAATTGGTGATGAAAATTCGATTTTAGTCTTTAATTTGCAACGCTCAAGGGAAATTATTAATATGCCTTTTTTCAGAATATATAGAAAAAAATAGATGTCTCTAATATATGTTTGTTGTATATTGTATTTTTGATGTTATAATTCATATAAAAGTTTTCAGAACTTGTAGCAATGATGTCCCATTATAGCTACTGATTGTATCGACTTTAGATGATAATCATATATTCTAGTTTTAAATGAATATGTATGTTATAAAATGAGATTAGTTATTCAGATTACATTGATGTTGTGACATATAAATTGTGAGTTTCAGCAATGAAACAGCCATGGAGATTATTTAGGGGATGGTTAAGGAGATAGGTGAAATTTTGGTTAAGGGAAAAAGTCTTCTAATAAAGATCATAGAAGAAATAAACCTGTTATGAAAACCATGAAAAAAGCTCTAGCTCCTACAATTGTTGTTGTTGTTTTACAATAAACAAATAGTGAGAAGGATGTTATATATATACTGTTAAGGAAGAATCTATTGATCCAACATATGTAAATAATTTTAACATGACAATTCGGAAATAAATCATTAAGAAGAAAGATAAAGTTTCAAGGAAGGTTGTTGAAAAGAAAAAATTTGGTGGCAAGAACCATTGTGTTGGTAAAATTTTGCATAACAAAGTGAAAACACAATCTGTAAAGAACACACGGGCCTCAAGTGAAGTTACTAAAGAATTGACTATGGGAAATACACTATTTTCTTGGAAGAGCCGCATAGTCAATGCAAAAATCAGCACTGCAAATGTTATGGTATGCATATATTTGTATTTCATATATTATGTGATAATTGAAAATATTTATAACTGACATGCTTTCATTCTTTATCACTGCAACATTTTCCAAGAACAATATAAAAAAAAATACCTGAGAACCAATATAAAGGCGATCAAAATTATTGATGTCAAAGTACATAAAACATGCAAATGTTAAGTTCACACTACAAAGCGAAATAACATACCAAACCCTTTTGAAAAGTATCTTTCTAAAGGATGGTATGAGTTTGCTAAAAGCAAAAACCTCTGTGATGGTGATACTGTGGTCCGGAGAATGGGGTGTTTTTCTCCATTCTTGTATGCAAAAGTGCAAAGGAGTTTATAATACTGATGTAAGCTAATTTAGCTAATGTGTTGATAATGTTTAGTGGTATCAACATGGTACGAATGGCCTGTTTTAGGTATCCATAACAAAATTATGTTGGATTTAATTTTAGCATTTCTAAGCAAATGCCTCATAAATACATTAGTAATATATAATCATGTTGGATTTAATTTTATCATTCCTAAAAGTTTTTATTTTCAACTTAGTAGAAGTGATATTATAATATATGTAATCTTTGTCTGTTTGTTATATGTGGAGTTTTAAGTGAAGTTTCTGTATTATTAGACATTAATTGATAAATCAGCTTATTGCAATTTTTGGTTACTTAGCCAACATCTATTCAATTTAATCAATCTTTTAATCTACTACTATAGTTTATTGATTGCGTTTGGTGTAATAAATATAATAAAATATCCTGTAATGGAAAATATACATATTTTTTGTTATTTGCTAATTAGTTTCTTCATTGAGTGTTGTTATTTACATATAATATATCCTAAATGTAACCATATCTTATTAAATTAAAATATAATGATAGTTAGAAAAAATAATTATAAATTTTTATTAATAAACATAATAATAATCAGCGGGCCAATCTTTATTTAATTAACAGTTTTTTAATTACACTGATCAATGCAAACAATGGTGGGCTTAAATTGAAAATGCATGAATAACAGGAAATTTTACCCCATACCCCTACAATTATATCCATATCTCTACACTAAAAAATTTTGGACCAAAATACCCTCATATGAAAAAGTTATAATTTTTTGGTTTGTTTACCGGAAGATTTTCAAAAAGTCTTCCGGTTTACATTTTTTTTGATTTGTTTACCGGAAGACTTTTTGGAAGTCTTTTGGCTCACATTTTTTTTATTTGTTTACCGAAAGACTTTTTGGAAGTCTTCCGGTTCATGTTTATTTTTTATTTTTTTTTAATTTTTAATTTTTTTAATATTCAAATTACAAATATATTTATTCTATTTACTCTATTTTAGTTAATTAATATATTTATTCTATTTACTCTATTTATTCTATTTATTTATTTAATAATAATTATTTCACTAATTTGATTTTTTATTAATTTATTCTTATTTATTTACTTAATAATAATTACTCCACTAATTTGGTATTGTTTTTTTTAATTAATAAAAATAAAAGTTGTCAACTAATTTATATATTGATTGTGTTATTTAAAGAAGAAAATTAACAATTTAATAATATGTTTATATGAAAAATAAAAATAAATATCATATTTAAATTATAATCCTATCATTTCTTCTATCAAAAATTTTCACCAAAAAATTATAATATATAACATTTATAATTATTTAAACAATATTTTATGGGGTAAAATATTAACTTTTAAAAATATATTTTATGGGGTAAAATATATTTTTAAAAATTTTCACCATAAAATATTAACTTTTAAAATTTGTAGGGGTAAAATATTTTATGGGATAAAATATTAATTTTAAAATATTAAAAACTAATTAAATCATAAACATTTCCTTCCGAGTAATTGTGGTGTCTCAAAATTCTCAGGCATATCTAGAATCACAAAGTCGACTGAAAATGATAGAACACCTACTCTTACCGAGACATCTTCAAGAATTCCATATGGGCATGTGATTGATCTATCCATCAGTGTTAGAATCATTTGAGTAGGTTTCTACTCATCATATTTTAACTTCCTCATCATGGACAATGACATCAGATTGATGCTAGCTCCTAAATCACACAGAGAAATGCTAATATTTAGCGAACCAATAACATAAGGAATAGTGAACCTACCTGATTAATGATTTTGGGTGGAAGCTTCTTTTGGATGATTTCACTACACTCTTCTGCTAAAGCATGTTTTCATCACTCTTCTGCTAAATATTTATGATTTAATTAGTTTTTAATATTTTAAATGTTAATATTTTACCTCATAAAATATTTTACCCCATAAAATATTTTACCCCTACAAATTTTAAAAGTTAATATTTTATGGTGAAAATTTTTAAAAGTATATTTTACCCCATAAAATATATTTTTAAAAGTTAATATTTTACCCCCATAAAATATTGTTTAAATAATTAAAAATGTTATATATTATAATTTTTTGGTGAAATTTTTTGATAGAAGAAATGATAGGATTATAATTTAAATATAATATTTATTTTTATTTTTCATATAAACATATTATTAAATTGTTAATTTTCTTCTTTAAAGAACACAATCAATATATAAATTAGTTAACAATTTTTATTTTTATTGATTAAAAAAAACAATACCAAATTAGTGGAGTAATTATTATTAAGTAAATAAATATAGTAAATTAATAAAAAAATCAAATTAGTGGAATAATTATTATTAAATAAATAAATAGAATAAATAGAGTAAATAGAATAAATATATTAATTAACTAAAATAGAGTAAATAGAATAAATATATTTGTAATTTGAATATTAAAAAAAATTAAAAATTAAAAAAAAAAACATGAACCGGAAGACTTTCAAAAAGTCTTTCGGTAAACAAACCAAAAAAATGTGAACCGGAAGACTTCCAAAAAGTCTTCCGGTAAACAAACAAAAAAAAATGTAAATCGGAAGACTTCCAAAAAAGTCTTCCGGTAAACAAACAAACCAAAAAAAATGTGAACCGGAAGACTTCCAAAAAGTCTTCCGGTAAACAAACCAAAAAATTGTAACTTTTTATACGAGGGTATTTTGGTCCAAAAAAATTTAGTGTAGGGGTATGGGTATAATTGTAGGGGTATGGGATAAAATTTCCTGAATAACATTGTGATTACACTGCCCCAATGCAAAAAGTGGTGGGCCTAAGTTGAAAATGCATGTATAACAATGTATTTGAAAATAGGGTTTAATTATATTTCTTTTATCAAAACACATCCAATGGTTAAGTTTGGGGAATGCTACATTCCATCTCCGTTCAGTAGGCATGTTTTTATGCAATTCATTTCAAAATAAATATTTGTTTCTGAAATCTTTTAATTAATGTACTGATTTGTTCTACAGTTTAATAATAAACCATAAAAATTTAACCTTTATGTTATGAATCATGCATGTAAAAACCAAATTCATTTTTGGTATAAAGAATATTTATTATCCTTGTCGTTGCAGTAACCCACATGAAGACATGATGAGATATGTGAGGAAAATTCAAAAAGAGCTTGATGATGAGGAAGACGAAAAAATTGAATCTCTTATAAAAGATGGTTTTCTTGATGATGCATGCAAAATAGCTAATCATATCAATGATGTAGAGTGGAAGACATACATTACAGAAGCTAATATCTTAGGAGAAAATGGCTTAGTATGTCTATATAATAGTAATACTGGTCAATTTTAATTTAATTTTTGTTTTCTTGTAAATCTTTATATTTTACTGTTCTGTGCCATATTTTTGTAGTATATTCCAAAAGATGTATCAAGGAAATGTTTTGGTAATAAGCATGATTCAGTAAAGATGGTAGATCTGGAAGCTGGCAAAGGTTATAAATGTGTCATCCATAGGGATGGAAGGGATGAGTATGAAAAAAAGATTGGTCGCGGATGGTACAAATACGCAAGAGAAAACAGAATTCATACAGGAGATTTATTGTTTTTTACAATGACTCCTATGTCGGATGTAATGCATGTTCAATTGGTGAAAGGTTGATGATTTGGATAGTTGTTGTTACATATATAAATGTTCTTCTAGTTGTATTTGAAGTTGTATCAAGTATATAATCAATATATGTTTGGTTTATATGTTGTATCAGTTGTAATGTTGTATCAGTTGTTATGTTGTTACATTGAATCCCAGTCTTTGTAATGAAACAATTATTGTATGATGTTTTGTAGTTATGGAAATATCAAAGTAATGCATGTCTGTGTTCTATTAGTTTCATATTTTCTGAACTTTAAAAGCATTGATTCGTATGTGTTTGTTTTGTTTACATACATCAACATATATTATCAATCTGTACATGACAAAATATCACTTCTATCAAACACTTTGTTTGAATATACATGAAAAAGAAAATAAAAAAATATGATGGGATATATGTAGTTCAAAATCAATATAATCCAACAATTGTTTTAGATACAAAATAATCCAAAATTAGCATCAGTACTAACTTTAAATGCTGACATATTACGGTTTACACACTTTCAAAAACTTGTTTGAAAACAACATTGGTGGTGGACTGTAGAGCTTGGATTTCTTTGTCGTGGATCAATATTTTGAGGCCGTTTTGGTTTTTACTCTTGATATTGCAACATATAATTGATCATGACTAAAGACACTCCACGACAAATACAATCCAACATAGTCCAATGATTGACCTTGCGAATTGTTAATTGTCATATCATATGATACAGTTATCAGAAACTGCCGCCTGGTTAGCTTGAACGGCCATGGAGGTTATGTAGGAGTGATATTCATTCTTGGTATATAAATAAATCTCCCAATGTTCTTGCATGTCATAATCTTTGCTTCTATGACATGATCTACCAATCTTGTAACAATCATCCTTATTTCATTGCACAATCCCTCAGATTGATCAATATTTCTTAAAAGCATTATTGGTCTTCTAATTTTTAATTTATTCCTATGCTGAGGAAGTCCAAAAGTTGTAAGTGAGCTTAGAAATTTGGTGGCCAGTACATCGTGCGCTTCATTGCTTGCAGCATCCAACCTATCGACAGAATCAAAACCCAAATATTTTTTCTCATCTCTTGCATTACAATGTTATTATAGTAATTAATACAACTAATGCAATATAGAAATCAACTATTAATGTAAACACCAATTTACTTGGAATTTGTTCTAATGCGTAGTGATTGATAACATCAACTGTTTCAAGAGTTCCTGTAACACCCTAAATTTAATTGGAATATTTTAATTAATTTATTTAATTAAGAATATTCATTTTCCGATGATTTTTGGTGGTTTTGTGAATTATGGAGAATTTAATGGAATTGAGTTATTTATTTTGGAATAATAGTATATAATATGAATATATTATTATTATTATTATTAATTAAAATAAATATAAGTGAAATAAGGGTAAATTGGGCATTTGGAGGAGTTAGTAAGGATATTATGGGAAAAGCCCAAATTGGGAGACCCAAGACTAAGTGGGACAAAATTGAGTTCTGAAGGAAAATTAGAATTCATTTGTGTTAACCATGAAAATATGGTGGCCAGAGCTCTAAAGGAAAGGTTGGAAGCAGAAGATTCCCGGAGACAATCGTGAAAGCTTTGAATCGGCTAAGGTATGGGGAGTATGACTTTTCATGATTTTCTATATATGCCTTTAGATGTGTTTATGGTTGGTTTATGATTTAAGGTATTTTGGGTTGGCTGTGGGAAAATAGGGAATTTTATGATAAGGCTTTGAGGCTAGGGGTAATGGTATGTAACACTGAATATTGATATGAGAAAGGGAAACTTTAGGCCTTCGTGGCCAAAACCTTGGATCGTTATATGTTTGACCCTGTAGGAATAGGAATGTTCAATTGTGAGTAACTCTGATGCACTCAGAGCAATTGCAGGAAAATAGTGATTTAGGCAGTGCAAATGTTGTCGGATTGGCCTAATAAACCATAGATTTTGTGTTTTTATCACCGTAAGACCTTAGAAATGATTTAAGGATGTTTTGGGGGGCATTGGGGAAGTAAATCATGTGGACTTTTGGGTTAATTTAGGTTCCGGAGCATAACAGTGTTTTGCTGTCCGTCACGACTGTTCATGTTTTAGGTCGAAATTGTTTTGGACGTAACTTTTGATCCGTATGGCCGTTTGGACCCCTCGAAGCGTTAGAAAGCTAATAAACAAGGCTATAACATAGTATAGATAAGGGAATTGGTGTCCCAATATTTTTATATCTAATTATGTTTGAGAATTCAATTGGGTATATGTTCTAGTAACGAATCATGTTCTGGTTCAGTGATGTCTTGATGTTTTGATGCTGCGATTTTCCTGATAAATTACCATGGGGGTAACTGTGATAATATGATGAATTAACATGAGTAGGAATATGAAGTCTATGTGATTGATGGGCGATAGTGTGAGGATTACCACGAGTATAATTTGATAAATTAATATGAGATAATATGGGGTAGTATTATGAGATAAATTAATATGAACTAATATGGGATAATATGTGATAATATGACTATGAGCTAATATGTGATTTGTACGTGATTATATGATGAGATGATGTATGAGATTAATTATTATGATGAATTAGGATGATATGATGTTTGATGAATTATGATGATTTATGTGATGATGATTTATGTAATGATGATGATTATTATGATGAATTATGTGATAACATGAGATATGATGATTTATGTGATGACGATGATTATTATGGTGAGTCATGTGAGATACGATGATTTATGTGGTGATGATGATTATTATGATGAGCTATGAAGTATGAAGATGATTATTATAACGAGTTATGATGACGTAACGTACGATGATGACTGTGTTGATGAGCTATGACATTTGATGATGATGAATATGAAGAATATGATGAATGATGATGCACCTATGATGTTATTATAAGGATTATTTGTGACGTGTGCATCATGCATTCATGTGCATCCGGACTTCGGTTCAGGACCTCGATTACTTTGACTTCAATCCCACTGTGCGGATGTGAAGTATTATGATGTGCTCCGGTTCTCTAGTAGAATCGATCCTATTGATGGGGATCTATGGAGGGTTGATGGCCCAGTGTCCATCACGCTGTGATGATTGGTACCGCATGCTTTGAGTCTATGTTGCATTTTCATTTATGAGCCTTTGTGTATAAATTATGACGTTGTGGCCCTTGAGACATAATTGAAGGATATCAATGTGTTAAATATAACTATAAGTAATATGCCGTTTATGCATTAATTGTTATACATTGATTATTATGAATTGTTTTACTCACCCTGCCTGTTTGAATGTTACCTCCACGTGGGTAACATGCAGATGACCAGGTTTAGCCGTGGACGTTGTTGAAGTATTTTTGAAGTTTTAGAGTCATTAGCCTTTATGGTTAACTTAGAGGGTCTTGCTCTGATATGTAACATCGGGTTGGGTTCCTTGAGTTGATTTTATACTGTTAAAGTTATTTTGCTTAATTTCCCTTTTGAGGAAAAACCTTGAGTTATGTTTTGAGTTCCGCTGCTTTGTGAAATTTTAATGTATTTTGGGAAAACCCGTGTGTTACGGAGTATTACCTATTTTGTTGACTTTGAGAAATGCACGCCCTTTTGTGGATTTTTATTGAGACTTATTTATTTACTCTGAAATCCGTGTTATTTTGCCTTAATAATTTCGGGGTAGAAAAGGGTGTTACATTAGTGGTATGAGAGCAGGTCGGTCCGTCCGGCCAAGTTGTCTAATGTTGTTGGTTCCCTTGTATGCGACATGTGTGTGAAAACACTGTCGGTACATGTTTGTTTCCTAACCTTGTCTGCAGAAGTGGGAATGATTCAAGCGGGGGAGAAGCTTGTGCTTCTCCAGGATGCTGCAAGTGTGGAGTTGTGGCTCAGTGTGTCGATGGACGCTCTTATAGTTTGGTAAAGATGGTTTGTACCCCATCATGATTTTCGGCTGTCTATTGACAAATTGAGGAACTGATCACCCTTAATCTCTTGTTGATAGTGGACGGGGTCATGTTGGATGGGATAGACGTGTCTAGCAAGCTTAGATGATGTGAGCAGTGAATTGTCTTGAGTTAAGCTAAGTGCTTAAGAATTGTTTTGATGAGTTGGCGTAGGACGGTGTTGAGATGTTTATTTTGACGGAAATTTTGAGTGTTAATGAAAGTGGGGAAGTTGGTGGTTTTCCAATTAATTGTGGTTGTCTGGAAGTTATCATGACAAAATAGTGATATACAGCCAAAACGTGAAGTGGAGTTGTGATCGACTTAGTTACGGAAACTAGTCCGATATTAAGGACTCCATATTATATGTTTGTTTGGATGGTCAAGGAATTAAATGGATTGAGTGGTTTTGAGACTTGTGTATGGTATGTGTGCTAAGGCAACAAATTGTAAGGTCGAGTATATTAAAGATGGACAGTGATTTCTGGTGATTATTAGAGAAAGTCAGATTGGAATGCAATATTGGTATAATTAGGCCTTTAAATATTTCAAAAGTTGAAGATATGTTGAATGGCCTCCTAAGTGTGAAATTGTTGTTCTACGTTGAATTCTGAGATCACAGCTTTTTACAGAATCGAAATCGGGCACCCGGAAGTCATTTAACGATCGAAAATAGAATTTTGGACTGTCAGGTTCGCCAGGCGAGCGATATCCTTCGTCGGGCGAAAATGTCTTGGGACAGAAGAATGATGTTTTCGTATTTTTGCCGTAACGGGAGAACCGTAACTCGGAATGAAGCATGGTTCGAAGTGTTGGAAAGCTATTCCAATGATCTATATGATGGTGAAGTAGTGGCATGGAATTAAGTTATTTATAGATGGACTATGTTTGGATTTTGTAGTGAGTGCGAAAAGTGCGGTTCGTGTGTCCGCCATAACTCACAAATTGAGTGTCCGATTGGCATGAGGCTTCCGAAGGATGATGGTTTCAAATTGAATTACCATTCAGGTAAATCAGTCGGGTAGCTGATGCATTGATTTGGAAATTTTTTCATATACCGATGATG